CTCTCACTCTCTCTTTCTCTTTCATTCCCTCCCCCTTTCTCTCTCATCCCCCCCCTCTCTCTCTCTCTCTCTCTCTCTCTCTCTCTCTCTCTCTCTCTCTCTCTCTCTCTCTCTCTCTCTCTCTCTCTCTCTCTCTCTCAATAACTTCACTGTCTTTTATTCGCAGGTGAACTGTTATTTTTGGAAAAAAATTTCTGCAGTTGTTTGGATAAGGAAAGTTACGAGACTCGCTGCCTCACGTGTGCGGCTCAGTGCTGCAGCTCCCTCCCTTGCCCCAACTGTAACTTTGTAAGTTGTAATAAGATAAATGAGCAAATCTACACGCATACATTATGACGTACGAGCACGCGCACGTACGCATACACACACGCACGTGCACACGCACACATGCACACCCACGCACGCACACATGCACACCCATATGCACGCACACATGCACACCCATATGCACGCACACATGCACACCCATATGCACGCACAGATGCACACCCATATGCACGCACACATGCACACCCAAGCACACACACGTGTACACCCATGCACTCACACATGCACACCCATGCACGCACACATGCACACCCATGCACGCAAACATACACACCCATGCACGCAAACATGCACACGCTCAATTCTGTACATATACAAGCATTTATATTGTGATTCCAGCATCTTCAAATGACTCGACTTACCATGCTAAAAGTTCTTTCCTTTCTCCAAAGGTCATGTTCTGCAGTGAGGAATGTAGAGAACAAGGTATTGCTAATTTCCATGAACAAGAGTGTGAGGTTTTGCCAGCTCTAGAAGCCTTCAGCGATGAATCGGCCACATTAGTCTTTAGGTTGCTAATGCAGCTGACATTCCCTCGCCTCAAGGAACTGCTGCCCATTCTGAAGCAGGAGGAAAAGACACTGCCTCCCGAGAAACGTGGATTTAATGAGGAAGGGATATATGATGCTGGAGACTTCCGGGCGATATATCATTTGTGTACTAACAAGCACCATCGGTCAAGTCCGTTGATTCTTAGAATGTGCACAGTGGCTTTCATCATTACTAAGATTCTGATAGCCTGTAACAAGTATTTCGTAGATGGGCACGGGAATCCCCTATCCCCAAGTGGCGAGGATATCGCTCTCGTTGGGGGCACTCTGGTGAGGATCCTGATGGTATTGAGGACCAATAGCTTCGCTTTCAAGGAATTACAGGTAAAGTGGAAAGATGGTATCAGATTGACTTTATGAACTATGGCTTTGTTACGTTAACCTTCCCTTTCAGTCTTGATGGTTATATTTCCATTCTACATGTTTTCCAGGTCTCTCTTTTTCGTAATAGAGATGTCCTCAAAACCTCCGTGGGAGTAAAACTCTGCTCTACTCTTAGTTTCTTGAATCACTCCTGCAACCCAAGCGTCTACTCAAGTACCGGAAGTGGCATCAGTGCCTCTCGAGCTTTCCGTTTCATCCCAGCCGGCCAGGAAGTGACGACTTGTTATGGCAGCACCTTTTACGATCTCGAGAAGAGCGGGCGATGGGAACGTCTGAAGGCCTATTATTTCACCTGTTGTTGCGAGGCCTGTGAGAATAACTGGCCGGAAAAGAGTCAGCTCTCATCCAAGCCGAAGATGAAGTGCTTGGGATGTTCAGAGCCAGTCAGTTGCAGGTCAGGCAAATGTACCAAGTGTGACAAAGACGAGGGGGGACCTGAGTCTAACCTGACGGCAAAGAACCAAGAAATCGGAAAGCAAATCTTAGATGCACTGAAGAAGTACCTTCACGTCCGCAACAGTGAGAGATTCATGGATAGAAACGATGAGAAAGACATTGAGGTCATCAGTAAAGCTATTGAAATTATGGACAAATATATGGTTCTGCCGTGTAAGTTTTATTGTGACGCTCAAGACACACTGCAGATTTACTATAACCGAGTAGGCAAGTTCACTTACGTCAGCCCTGGGTCAGATAATATGCTCTCTAACTATTACTGGCCTCCGACCCCATGAGGAAGAATGGCTAGCACGCAACCAGCCACAAACCTTCAAAGAAGTTTAAGGTTTAATTTACATCAGCAAGATGTTCAATAGTTATTTTTTTGTATATGTTTAGTTACTTCACAAAGCCTGTAAATGTTAAACCTAATTTAGAATTTTGTTCTTCGTTCAATTGCTAGAGATAAATAGTATTAGAGCTTCTTTGTTTAATCATTGGAGTTATTTCCAGTGATTTGGAGCGATTTGTTAATTACTGGATAAGATTTGTTGTGGGGTATTAAGTTATATCCCTCATTTTGATTACTTTTTTATTTTTCTAAAAGACCCAGTCACGGTGTTGACTAGGATGCAGGATGGAAAAAAACCGTGATAGTGTTGTAAGTTCTTTTCTCCAAAAAGTTTATGTAGGTGAGATCAACAGGGGAACATGTGGCTCCGTCGATAACCGTGATGCGTCTAACGAGTATCAAGTGTTGTCACGTAATTACATTGTTGCGACGCTATAGTAATCATACATAGGAGGATAAGTAATATAAATGAGAACATATTAGGTTATACAGAAATTACTAGCACAAATGTCACTGTAGTTCTCACATATCTACAGAATATCGAGGAATATAGAAAGTTATATTCAGGAAGATGTATGGTCAAGGTTATTCATTGAGCACTTTCTTTATTTCAGGTAAATCTGATGATATAATATGATTGACTGAACTGAAGAAATTGTTTCCAATGTAGGCCTATGTA